TCTATTATGGTTTATTACAGGATATTGATGTAGTTCCCTGTGCTATACAGTAGGACCTTGTTGTTTATTCATTCTATATATAATAGTTTGCATTTGCTAATCCCAAACTCCCAATCTATCCTTCCCGTCCTCTCCTCCCTCTTGGCAACCACAACTCTGTTCTCTATGTCTGTGAGCCTGTTTGTTTTGTAGATAAATTCATTTGTGTCATAGATTCCACACATAGGTTAGATTCTACATGTAAGTGATATCATACGGTATTTCTCTTTCTCTTTCTGACTTCATCTGGAATTAAATCACAGATTTTAAAACTATTTTGATAACTGTATTCCAACATAATTGGTTGACTTTATATTACAACAAATTTAATCATGCATTGATTATTATTATTTTTACTCTTATGCATTTAAAACCAGCATTCTGAGAAGGGACCCATAGGCTTCACCAGACTGCCCAAGATCTGTGTCACAAGAAAAGGTTAAGAGCTCCTGAGGGATTTTCTGAAGTGTCCTCAACACATCAGTCTTAAAACCCCTCCCCTAAATTAGGCCTTGTTCTGTCTCCCGGACACCTTTGCAGATGCCTTACTTACTCCTCTCCCTGGATTATGCTCCTGCTGCCCAACACCTCCTTCCCATCAACCCCGTCCTGGCTGGCTCCTGCTCCTCCTTCAGATCTCAGCTTTGACGTCATTCCCCGTCAGGAAGACTTTCCTAGCCCTGCAACCTGCAGCTCCTTCTTAGATTTCTCTCGCCTAGTCCGTGCTCTTCTGCTTCTGGGTCTTTGTACCCCTCCTAGATGTTCCTGGAGCTCCGCGTGTCTTCCTCAGCATTTGCCAGATGATATTTAAATCGTTCAGTGGTACTTTGACCTCTCCAAAGAGTGGCACGTTTGCATCATTTTTCTGAGTTTTACCTGCTTCTCACAGTGATGACATCCTACGGAAAATTGATAAGGTCTATCAATGTGTCCAGTCTCTATAAATAAAAAGTGAGTGGGTTGTTTTCTCAAAGGAAGATCTTCAGTTGTAAAAATTCTGAAACTATAAAGCACTGCAAGTGTCTTCAGATTAAAAAGAAGAAATCATGAGTGGAAGTTCACTTTTCTATTCCTCATTTCTTTTTTTTTTTTATTTTTATTTTTTTTATTTTTTATTATTATTTTTTTTCATTTATTTTTATTAGTTGGAGTATTCCTCATTTCTTTACCTGTTTTCATGCTTAGTTCATTTGTGGTTTCTTTCATATGAAATTGCAGTAAGTCTTGCTATGATGGTCCCAGTTTTTTTGCATTTCTGTGATCTTTTGATGTATAAGAGTTGTGCTTACTTTACCTCTTTCTACGAGACTCAAAAGGATTAAGGCTAACACAGAAAGGTAGAGTAAGCTCTAAAATCCAGAGAAAAGATTGTAAATCTCCTCTTGGATTCTGTCTGGAGTCACAGCTGGAAAAAAAAAGGATTAACAACATGCCAGATTATTTAAAAGCCCAGGGGTGGTGGTGTGGGGACTTGGATTAGTAATGGAAAAAGAAATTTATAATAAATGAAGGCAGTAAGAGTTAGAGGCGCCATCTACTGGAGGAGCTGCAACTGAAGACTTGGACAAGATAGTTCTGCCTGATCTGCTAATACACTTTGAAAGATTCCCATTGCCGCCCCAAATTTGTCACAAGCCACAGATCAAGGAAATCATTCTCCATCAGCACCAGTTCTTCATAAGTCCTATCCTGAACTGTTGCAGGACCCTCCAACCTCTGGAAAACCAGAAAAGAAAGAACTATTGTACAGCCAAATTGCATTACCAAGATATTCCAGATCTCTTTATTATTTCAGTGCCAGGAAATGAATCTTCAGAGTCCAGCTTCAAGAAGACCCATTCTCAGTGGAGAATGAGGTGCTCTGGAAAAAATTGTCCAGTGTTTAGTTGGTGATGGTCTGCTGCCTGGGCAGGCCCTTATGTGTCAGCCTCCCTCACAGACAAAGTTCTGAAGGAAGAAGTGAAATGTGTATGTGTGTGTGTGCACGTGCGCGCCTCCAGTTCATTTCTTAAACTCTTACAAGAAAAACCCAGACCCAGGGCTGTAAGACTTCAAAGGTTGGTTTTGAGAGGTAGGCAATGATATAAGTTAAATCCTTCTATTCCTTACCACTAGGAAGTGTAATCCCACTGGGAACCATCTCTGGGAAGACAGTCATGACAAGGTCTGTGATGTGATGCATTAGTCGCTCAGTCGGGCCTGACTCTTTGCAACCCCATGGACTGTAGCCCACCAGGCTCCTCTGTCCATGGGATTTTCTGGCAAGGATACTGGAGTGGGTTGTCATTTCCTTCTCCAGGGGAATCTTCCCAATCCAGAGATTGAACCTGGGTCTCCTGCACTGCAGGCAGATTCTTTACTGACTGAGCTATGAGGGAAGCTCCAACAAGGCCTGAAGAGGTTCAAGAATGAATCCAGGAATTCTCTGAGTCTGCAATAACTCAAAACTTTTTTCTCAAATCATTCCCTTAGCTTCATGCTATCATATGAAAACATCTACCTTGCCAAAATAACTTCTGGGAATGCCTAGTCAGCTGAAAACTAAACAGTATGTCATATTGAAGATCAATAGAGCAAAGATTGAAATCTAGCTTATAGTAAACTTGCTTGGGGAAGACAAAATGAATAAATGCCAATAGAATTGGGGAAATGGGGAATAACACTTTCTATAGCCCATGCTTTGTAACTTCTGCAAAGATAGCTATGAATAGACAGCAAGGAACAGTTAAACTTTTCCTCATCATAGTGAGAATGAGCAATGCCCGAGATTTCAAATTTCAAAATTTTCATTTGAGATCTTCAGAATGAAGTAAAACTGGGTCAAACTCAACTTCCGTAGGGTGAAATTAATGGATGATGGCAAGACCTGAGGACATGACTGGTAATCCATAGATTTAGAAACAAGGGCAGTAATTCCTTTTCTGATTGTGGTACTGTGGAGTAGAAAGTTTTTCATACTCTCTTTGGGCTAAATAAAAGTCATTGGCCCAGAAAACCCCTAATGACTAGGTTCAGAGAGCTTCTGAGTCAGTGAACAAGAAGCATCCACATGCCAGGGGGTGACCCACCTGAACTCTATGGAGTCAGCAGCTCCTTTGCTCAGACCCTTCCAAACCTTGCCCTACATCTCTCTTCATCTTGCTGGTCTTCCTTAGCCTTTAATATCCTTTGTAATAAACCACAAATCAAGAAAGGAAACTTTTCCTGAATTCTGTGAGTTATTCTAATAAATGGTTGAACCCGAGGAGGGGGTTGTGGGAATCTTTGATTCACAGGTAACAATCTAGACCTGCCATTGTCATTTGAAGTGGGGACAAGTTTTGTGGGACTGAGTCCTTAATTTGTGGGATCTGACCCTATCTCTGGGTAGATGGTGTCAGAGGTGAGTCAGATTGTAGGATACCCAGCCTGTGTTAGAGAATTGCCTGATGTGGGGAAACCACCATGTATTTTAAAAGTACAGAGTATTCTGTGAATAAAGAAAAGGGAGTTTTTCTTTTCCGGTATTTAAAATAAACACAGAAGCAGAGAGTAGAATGGTGATGTTAGGGGTTGGGAGCAGGGGGAAATAAGGAACTGCTATTCAACAAGTATAAGGTTTCAGTTATGCATGATGATTAAGTTCCAGAGATGCTGTACTGTGCCTATAGTTAACAGTATCATATTGTACACACTGATTTGTTAAGGGGCTGATCTCACATTAAGTGTTTTCACCATTAAAAAATAAATAAAACTTTTGCGAGTCACAGGACACTGCCAATAAAGTGAAAAGACAACCTACAGAATGGGAGAAAATATTTGCAAATTATATATCTCTTAAAGGTCTTATATCCAGAATATATATTCTTATAATTCAACAATAAGCCAATCCAAATTAAAAATGGGCAAAAAGTTTGAATAGACATTGCTCCAAAGAAGGTACACAAATGTCCAACAAGCATATGAAAAGATGTTTAACATTGTTAGTCCCAAGGGAAATGCAAATCAAAACCACAACAATACTTCAATCCCACTAAGATGACTATAATCAAAACAATGGAAAATAACAAGTGTTGGTGAGGATGGAGATAAATTGGAACCCTTGTGTGTTTCCTATGGGAATGTAAAATGGTTCAGCTACTATGGAAAAGTTTAGTGATTCCCCTAAAAATTAAAGAATTCCATATGACCCAGCAATTCCACTCCTTGGTATATACTTGAAAGAACAGAAAACATGTATTATAACAGAAATCTGTACACAAATGTGCATAGCAGCACTATTCACAATAGCCAAAAAGTGGGAACAACCCAGATGCCCAATGAATGGGTATAACAAAATGTGGTATATCCATGCAATGAAATATTATTCAGCCTTAAACAGGAATGAACTACTTACTGATGCATGCTATAAATTGGATGAAACCTGAAAACATTACGCTAAACGAAAGACGACAGACACAAAAGGTCACCTGTTGTATGATTCCATTTGTATGAAATGTCCAGAATAGGCAAAACCCTAAAGACAGAAGATTGGCTAATGGAATCAGGAGCTAGGTGGAAGAGGAAATGGGGATTGCCTGTTTAATGAGTATGGGTTTCCTTTTGAGTGATGAAATGTTTTGGAACTAATTAAGAGGTGAGGGCCGCACATCACTGTAAATGTAAGAAAGGCCACTAAATTGTGTTTTAGAATGGGAACTGTGCTGTGAATTTTACTTCAATTAAACAAAAGAAAAAAAGAAACAAGTAGTGAGAAAACTAGACACACAAGGTATTAGAAAAAGAGCTCTATTTACAAAGCAGAAAGTTCACAAACTCTAGCTGGAGGGAAAGGAAGGAAGAAGTTAGCAAGTATGAGCAGGTCCTTTAAGAGCAACTTCACCCCCGGGAAACTCTTGAGTACCAGCCCATGTAGTCAGCTCCTACTTCATGGCCCACTCGTGTTCCAATCCAATAAATAATCCCTCCATTGGCCATAGCCCTCAGTGTTCTTGCCAGTCATCTCGTGCCCAGGCAGGCATTGGTGAATGGTACTCAAAGTCTGGCCCTTTATAGCTCAGGGCATGCAGGAACATCACAAGGTCCTGGGGCGAGGGATCCTGTGGCACTCTCCGGCACTCTGAACAGAGTGGGTCTGTCTCTTGATTCACAACACCCGTTTTGGTTGCCTTCCCTGATGCCACAGGCACCCCGTCCAGATCCCGAGGGGCTGCCTCAACTGCTCCATCCATCTTCTGGGCAGATATAGCTATCTCTTCTAGGCAGTCCTTGCTGAGCTCTGAGGAAGGTGCTGTAGAGTCTGGGGGTCCAGGGCACAGGTCTCCCCCACAGAGATCTAGCACATCCAGACTCTGTTTGGCCTGGTGCTCTGCCACAAGGTCCCGCAGTAGTTCCTCATCTGTTTTTGGGATGTGGCCGCCTCGGCCTCGTGAGGGGCCCCAGGCGGCTGAGTTGTAGATGGGGTCATTGAGGATGGGGTGGCCCAGGAACTGGAGGTGGACTCGGATCTGGTGGGTGCGACCTGTAAGTGGCCGGCACCGTACCACACTGGAATGGCCATTGTAGCTCAGTCTCTGGAACACTGACTCACAGGCCTTGCCCTGAGGATCTACACGGCACACCCCTACCTTGTAAGACACCACCAAGATAGGCTCCTTGCAGGTTACCTCCTCGGCGGGGAACTCCCCCGCCACCCGGCACACGTATTCCTTCTCCAGCTACACAGGAGGGAAGAGGGAGAAAGTCAGTGTGTGAAGCCCAAACCCTTTTCAGTGATGACAAATGCACCCGTATCAGACAGAGAGGGCTCAAACCCCAGCTCCACCATTTGCCAATTGCACAATCCTAGGCATGTTACAGTACTCAGCTTCTTTAAAACCCCTTGTCTAGAAAATGTTTGCTTAGAAAAGCATTTATCTCAACAGGGCTATTCCAAGGATTTAGTCAGCTGGGCTCTAGCATACTTGGTATTGAGCCTGGTAAACAGTAAACAATAAATATATTATAACCAGATCCAGAATTACAAGTCTCAAGACCACAATCACCACTATTTAACTCTTCCACCCAAACCTCTTCCAACTCTATCCAGAATCTTTCCACCAAGGAGACTCTCTCCACAGTCTTAAAAACCTTGCTCAGCCTGTCAGCATTTAAAATTTTCAAAACAGCAAATTACCAAGACAGGTAGTATATGTTATCTCTAAAGATCTTTTGAAACTTCAGAGAAAATAACGTGTCTCTGGCACTTTAGGTGCTGACCTTCCTGAAGATGGGAAGCTTGAGCAGATAAAACACAGAGGCTCACTTCAGATCTAGAACTCGGTGACACCCTTTCAATGCAGAGCATTTGTGAGCCTAGAAGTGGCCTGCAAGAGGCAAACTCAGTTTGGCTCACCTGCCGGTCCCGAACCTGTTCATGAATTCTCTCTGAGACGGCTGCTGTTTTGGCAAACATGAGGACCCCGGAGGTAAGGCGATCAAGTCGATGCAATGGGTGTAGCTCCTTTAGTTGGTGCTCCTTGCCCAGGATGAAGATGACAGTGTTGTGTCGGAAGCGGCCACAGGGATGGACAGGAATGGAAGAAGGCTTGTCTACAACCACCACATCTTCGTTCTCCGCTAGCAGGCGGATGGGTTCTGCTGTAACTGGTGGCTCATGCCTATGCACTGTGTTCCGTAAGAAGTCATTGTCCTGCCAATGACACAGGCAACTGGTCAGCCCAGGGTCCAGCCACCTATGATCAGTCAACTTCACACACAACTTCCCCCCATCTTCCTTCCTGGATGAAAGAATGGTCACAGTACATCCTTAAGCAGAAAAGGCAGTATACACAGTGTATTCTTATTTTGTAAACACACAGACACACAGGCAGAAGCAGGCATTGAGAAAGAGCTAGAAGGATACACCTAAAATGTCATATATCTCTGGATAGTGTGATTATGGATTTTGCTGTACTGATTATTCATATTTTCTCTACAAGAAAGTTATATTTAACAATATAGTCTTCTAAAATGAAGGGGAAAATCCTCCATACACCATCACTCATTGTGACCTTGAACAAACACCAAGCTGTAAGTCCAGAGATTTGGGCTGTAGACCTGGATTTGCTACAGGCTTACTGCATGCTCTTACGGAAGTCACTTAACTTCTCTAGGCCTCAGTTCCCTTATCTGTAAAATGTGAGAATTAGTCCAGCCCTGTGCTTCAAAACTGTGACTGATTCAAACCACTCCTTCTCCAAATGCCTTCACAACCATGGTGAGGCAGTTAATGACAGTGTCTGGTACCTCTTAGCTGTGATAGAAATTTAAAGTAGGGTCAAAGCACTGGGCTACACAATTCTAGTTTCAATCTCTGTCATTTCACAGTTCTATCCTATCAGGCTCTAGGACAAATACATCAAGTGGAAGTTGTAAGAACACGGGCTTCCCTTGTGGCTCAGCTGATAAAGAATCCCCCTGCAATGTGGGACAGCTGGGTTCGATCCCTGGGTTGGGAAGATCACCTGGAGAAGGGAAAGGCTATCCACTCCAGTATTCTGGCCTGGAGAATTCCATGGACTGTATATACTCCATGGGGTTGCAAAGAGTCGGACATGACTGACCGACTTTCACTTCACTTCACTTCAAAGAACACAGGTGTTGGAGGTGGCACTGTGTCTTACCTCTATGAGGTTGATCTTAGTTTCCTCGACTTCCTCACAGGTAAAATGAGGTTGTCTACTCCACAGGGTTGTCATTAGAATTAAATGTTAAAGTACATAAAATGCTTAATGCTGTGCCCAGCACACAGTCAGGAGATATAAATGATAGTCTCGGTTATTACTATTTGTACAGAGATCTACAATGCAAGGCAGAAGTCATCAGTGCCAGTGCCACAGGACTGCATAAAAGGAGCGGTAAGAATTCCTGGTGCTCCCCTGGTGGCTCAAACGGTAAAGAATGCCTGCAATGCAGGAGACCAGGATTCAATCCCTGAGCTGGGAAGATCCCCTGGAGAAGGAATTGGCAACCCACTCCAGTACTCTTGCCTGGAGAATTCCATGGACAGAGAGGCCTGGCAGTTCATGGGATCGCAGAGTCAGACACGACTGAGCGACTAACTTTCACTTTCACAAGACTTCCAACTTCTGTGCCTCGGAAACAGCAAAGTCGCTTTGATGGAAGGGAAAAGGGGGCTGAGGTGTGAAACATATGGGCAGTCTACCTGCGGAAATGGAGCGGTAAAAGAGTGTTACAAGTTAAAACAAGAACGCTTCAGAATGACCCCGAATTTACTCCGGTACCTATGCCCAAGTAACCGAAAAAACCATGCCCCCTTTCCGGCAGGCCCCATCAGGACTCCACCTTGAGCACAATGCTGAGGTCCTGTACCGGCTCCTCGTTGAGGTGCAGGCGTCCCGCCCGGACAGCGGCCTCGTAGTAGGCCAGGGGCTGGGCTCTGAACTCCGTGCCAAAGACGTGCAGCAAGCTGTGGCCCACCCAGCGGCCTTTGCAATAAGTCCGGAAGTCAAAGTAATAGGGCCGCACTTTGCGCAAGCCGCCTTCAAAGTAGTAGCTGGTCTCAGCAAAGTGTTCGTCGCCGAAGCTAACCCCTGCCCGCCGCTTCTTCGGGGGCGGCACAACGCGCTCTCCAACCGCGCCCCGCCGCTTCTTCCGCTTGCCAGGGCCCGGGGCTGCATCCGGGGCCCGCTCCCCGTTTCCTGAGGGCTGCTTCGCGTCCCCCGAGACCGGCTCCACTTCTGAACCCGCCGGCTCCGGATGCCCAGGGGGCTGCTCACCCCTCGGTTCGCCGCCCGCATCTCCGTTTTGCTGAGCTGGAGCCCCCAGCCCGCTCGCTGCCTCAGCCCCGGTCGAGAGTCTTTCCGCCATGGGTCCCCTACAGGCACCCCAAGTCCTGGCAAATGCGAGGCACCGGAGACTGGAGCACACTTGCCCAAGAACCGGTAGCCACGACCGGCCTCCCAGCCACATGACCCAGCGGCCGCGGCCTCTGGGTCGCGATCTGAGGGCGTCACTCAGCACCAACCAATCAATGAGACCTAGTGCCGAGGCGGGACCGCGTTGAGAACAGGCATGAAGGAGGTATCTGAATGAGTTGAGAGCTGTAAGAATGACTCATTAAAAGTGTAGATTCCTTGTCGATATGCTCGAAGTTCCTTTACTCTGGAAAAACTCTTGAAAGAGTTACTAATATTTCAAAACAAAACGAAATGAAGATTGATAATGTACTGAATGTACTAAGAAGCACTGCGTTGTATACTTTAAAGGGTAAGCATATTTTGTGACTTATAACTCAATAAGGGCTTGCCTGGTGGCTCAAACGGTAAAGAATATGCCTGCAATGAAGGAGACCCGGGTTCAATCCCTGGGTTGGGAAGATCCCCTGGCGAAGGAATTGGCAACTCACTCCAGTACTCTCACCTGGAGAATTCCATGGACAGAGAAGCCTGGCAGGCTACAGTTCATGGGATCACCCAAAGAGTCGGACACTACTGAGCGACTAACTTTCACTTTTCGTAACTCAACAAAGCTGTCATATATGTAATTAAGCACACAGACCCCAGAAAAAATATTTTTACATTTGTCCTTCTCCTTAACAGCATGAGGACTAGAGAGCTCCCATTTGCCTTCCCACATGGTCCTGTCCTGAGATTAAAACTCCAAGTGGATCAGAAGATGTATTTGTCAGAATTCTTAAATGCAAAATACCGAAACCAACTCCAGTTAACTTCATAAGAGACGGAATTATTGAAAGGATATTGGTGCCTCATAGGATTCATAAGAAAGCTGGAGAACAGGCTCAGAAACAGCCAAATCAAGATAAGCCAAGACCTCTGAGAACCAGCCACATGACAAAAGGGTGAATCTTATGGAGTGTGAATTATATTTCAATGAAGTTTTTTGTGTTTGTTTTTGGAAAGAGTGTCTTTCAGAATGTGTCTGAAACACAGACAAGGAGAAAGCTTTAAGAGAGGTCTAGAGAGGGAGTCCTTGTGGGATTGTATAAAGCCTTGCTGCTCAAAATGTGGTCTGTGGATTAGCAACGTGGGAAACATCCAGCAACTTGTTGGAACTGCAAAATCTTTTTCCTCTTCCCTTCAGAGCCCCTGAGTGAGAATCTCCATTTTAACAAGATCCTCAGATGATCTGACTGCATACTAAAGTTTGGAAAGCACTGACATAAACCAAGCAAAGTAGACTGTTCTCATACCCTTTGGACATCTAGCGTGTTCTCAACACTCTTCTTTGTGTGGGGAATTTCCCACATTAAATACTGTTTCCAAGAGGTAGGATCTAGAAACTGGCCTTCCCAGACTCCCTAGCAACTTGGGCATCCATCACTTGGGCTCCTTTGATCAGGCAGGGCCTTTGGTTCAGAGGCATAATAGCAGAGGAAGCAGGCAGTGTGGAATTCATGTCTGACAAGATAGCATTCAAGGGATTTGTATATTGCTATATGGAGTTATATTGGGGACTAACATGGGGGAAGTTCCTGTGTCCAGTGCCCAGCTGCAGTATCTACATTGAGTGGCACTGGGGTGCTCCCTGAGAAGTCCTTCACTGAGGTTTAGAAACTTCTGGCTATATAGACCCTGAGTCTGACTCTGGCCCCTCTTGAGATTCTGTGAACTGTTTAATATACTTTAATCCTGTGGTCAACTGAATAGTCATTAGCCAAATGTGGCTATTTAAATTAATTAAAGTGAAAGAAAATTTAAAATTCAGTTATTCAGTTACAGAAGCTGCATCTCATGTGCTCAAGAATCACATAAAACTAGTGGATATCTTATTGGACAACTCAGATACAGAACATTTATATCATTACAGAAATTTTATTGTACAGAGCAGCTTTAATTCATCCCTTTTACTGCTTAAACTGGCTAGAATGAGCTCTATTGTTAGAACTAAGAACTCTAGCTAACTTACTATGATAAGAATTTAAGCCTTTAAGAGCAATGGGGAATTATCAAAGAATTTCTGGTGTGTGTGTTTGTGTGTGTGATGATCCAATTTTCATTCCAAAAAGATTACCCTGGTTGCCACTTGGAGAAGAGACTGAAGAGTGAATCACAAGGTCTAGGTCCAGTTCAGTGTAGTCTTTGACCAAAAGGTTTCTAATTTAAACATTCAGACACCAAATAAATTTTTAACATTTGTCAAGCATTACTTGGCTTCAGAGATACAAAGGTAGAAAAGACATGGTTCCTGACCTCAGTGAAGGCCTAGACTGGTTGAGAATACAAATAAAAAACATATTTGTACTAATCACACTGTGGGAAAACAGATACCTAAGATAGAAGGATGTTGACTGCTGTCATGTGGCTTCCAAGTGTGAGCAGTCCTTGGGAAGAGGAAGATCGTCAGGGCTTATGGTTTCAGCTTTGCAAGTCCGGGATCTGGTTTGGATTTATTCAGCACACACACTCAAACTCAAACGACATGGATGAATCAGTAAGGGTGTGCTGTGCTCAGTGGTGTCCAACTCTTTGCAACTCCATGGACTGTACACTGCCAGTTCCTCTGTCGATGGAACTTTTCAGGCAAGAATACTGGAGTGGGTTACCATTTCCTTCTCCAGGGGATCTTCCCAAGCCAGGGATTGAAACTGCATCTCCTGCATTGGCAGGTAGACTGTTTACCACTGCACCACCTGGGCAGCCCTATCAGAAGAGGTGACCATTTGTTAATTTACAATTGTCACTTTAAGTTGAAAGGTGTATTCAATTTTACATCAGCCACTATTTGTGCCTAACGTTAAAGGAACCCTCATACTGGTATCAAGATATGTAAGATACGGGTGGCCAAATTTGAAATCAAGAGGGTATTCTTTGGTGAACGGGAAATTAGAGAAAACTTCATAAGTGAGTTGAAAGGCTATGCAGCAGTTCAATGAAGCACCCATAAATCTATGACAGTCATCCTTTCCATGAATCAGATGCTACAAGATTCATGTCCCCAGGTCAGGCAGCAGTTGGAGGACTCTGGGAAACTGCCCATCCTCATATACTCTCTATGAATAAGCACTGGCAAAATCTTGCTTATTATTTGCTCCTTTGTTTTCTAACTTTCTTGCTTTCCACTTCCTTCTGTTTGCATATTCTCAGAATGGTCATAAATGTAAGTAAAAGAGTACCCTGTAGTTGCCTTTCACATGGTGGTAGTTATCACCACCATAGCCACACTGAGTAGCTTCAAACACATCTAGAGACTATACCCTCAGCCAAGCTACTTCTACAGATGGGTGGCTACTGTCTTTTCTCACATATATCTTTGTGAGACAGTAATCAGCCCTGGAAATTGGAGATCAGGTTGGGAGGGTTATGTCTCAGAGAAACTCTGAAGGATATCAAAGGTCATCTTCTCAAAAAAAAAAAAAAAAACTCCTTTCTGACACGCACCTCCCATGACCACTGGCTCCTTTATGTACTCTGGCCACATTTCCGTCATATCTCTCTAACTCTTTGCTGTGATTTGTAAACGTGTCTGTCTCCATGGCGCTTCCTCCTAAGCCATAAAGCTGGGATCCATAACAAGTCTTAACTGTCTTGAATTCCCGCTTAACATAATGCCTGGAACACAGCAGAGCTTGATGCTTATTGACTAAATTAATGTGGGACAGAGTCATAACTGGTGAAAAGGACATGGATCTCCTGTGGGAGTAAGGAAAGTAATCGCCTCCGTCCCCCATTCAAGGTGCATAAGTTCTCTAATTTACGTGTCGAAGGTCTGAAATTTTCGGGGACCAACACCAGTCCAGAGAACTGCTGAGGAGACTAACTTGCTCAGGGAACCAAGAAAAGTCAGGGCTTGGAGACTGGGCTTCCCTATCCGAGCAGGAAACACGTGGAAAGCGGTGTCCGCGCAGCTGGAACGCCCTGATATAGGTGGAATCAACCTGGCCCCCTGGAAAACAGGGGCGGAGGGTGTGTTCTCTATCGTATCCAGGCAACAACAGTCCCGCCCATCGTTTCCGAAGCGCTATGCGGCTCACTTCCTTACCCAGCTGAGCTCCTCTCGACCAATCGACGCACAGGACATCGCTAGGTTGGGCGGTGGTTGGAGAACTCCCGGGATCCGTCACCTGGAGACTCCGCCTCCCTACTTCTTCCCTGCTGCCTGCCAAGAAACTGAGCTGAGCGTTTGCGGGCTGCTGGCTGGCGGTCGTGGTAAGGGGAAGAGGCGCAGGGCTGCGTAGCGTTTTCTACCCCTGGCTCCGGCCGCATTCCGAGATACCACAGAGGTGCCTCGGGGCCTGAGTCGTCCCGCCTAGCCAGTCCTTGAGGCTGGAGTGATTGAGGCCCCGGATCTGGACACAAGGGTTCTTTCTCCGTTCTGGACGGTACTTTCTAGTGGGGACCGGGCGACCGGGGCTCTGATGCTAGCAAAGTTTTGGTGTGGGTGGGTTCAAACGACTTCGGGATGGGAGTGGAGCCTCATTGTGACCCTTGGCATCAGTTCATACTGGGCCTCCGTGACATCTGGCCTTTTACTTCCGGGCCCTGAGCTTCCTGGGTTCTCGCTCCTGAAATTATTCAGATCTTTTCCTAAGCAGCCTTCCTAATCTCAGAGGTCCCTCCTGAAAGGTGTCAGTTCATCCTTCTAGACTAGATAGTTATGAAAGCCCCCAGGTTTTGTGCGTCGCTGTTCCCTCTTAGCTCTGCTCATGTTATTTTCAGTATAGTCACAAAGAGGCTGAGTTTTATTGGGTAAAAACATGGCTTTTGGAGCGGCCGGGGTCTGGTTTCCAATCAGGGGTTTCACTCTATACCAGTAATATGTCTTTGGCAAGTTATGCTTCTGATCCTCATTTTTTTCATCTGTAAAATGATGAAAATGTCTATATTTCTGTTTTGTTTTTTTAAATAAGAACATGAGGCATATAGCTCAGCTTCTCCATACAATGAGCCCATGGGCCAGTACTCTGACAGACAGGTTTCATCAGCAGCATTTTTATTATCCTGGTGTACTGTATATGGAACTGTGCAGGACCTTTAGTCTGTGTCCTATTGAAAACAAAATTTAATTGGTTGAGGACAAAGTGGTTGCATCTTGGAGATCTTTGGAGGAAAGTGCAGGACGGTTGTCCTCACTGGAAATGTTGTAGAAATACCTCTGTGTGTGTGCTCGCATATGTGTAAAACATCCATAATGTACATTTACCATTTTAACCATTTTTAGATGTATTGTTCAGGGCATTAACATTATTACACAGCCATCACCACCATCCATTTCTAGAATTTCCCAAACTAAAACTCTGTGGCCATTAAACAATAACTCCCATTACCATTCCCATCCCAACCACCGTTTTATTTTCTGTCTCTGTGAGTTTGACTGCAGAGACCTCATGAAAATGGAATCGTTCAGTCATTCAGTCTTTTGTGTCTGGCTTATAGAAATTCTGTTTTAAAATACAAACTTCATTATGAAAACAACCCAAGTGCAAAGCCAGAAGAGAAACCCAGTTACCCTTGAAGACATTTTAAATTTTGTTAGGAGAAACTAGTTAAAAGGCTATAACCTTCTTCCCAAGTCAGTTCTTATTCACTTGAGGTTCTGTTTTCACTTCAGATTCCAAATGAAAATGTTTGAAAGCATTGACTCTGCAACCACAAGATCTGGCCCAGATCTTTGGGCTGAAATCTGTTCCTGCCTGCCACATCCTGACCAAGACGACAGTGCCAGTAATGCCTTCTCAGACTCCTTTATGGATTCTTACCCTGCAGGCACAGGCCAGAGGGAGGCCCCACACTTCGCAGCACAGCCAGCTGTAAAGCCTTGGGCTCCCTTGCAGGATTCAGAAGTGTATTTAGCATCTTTAGGTAAGTTAGATGGCTTTTTTGTTTGTTGGTTTAAATCCGAAGCTGGAAGTTTTAACGAAGCATGTTGAAGTTCTATTACATCAAATCTGGTTTTCTATTCTTAATTTTTCTTTTTGTCCTTACCACATGTATCTGTCAGATGTAATTCTACAGGGGGTTTCAGTTTTGGGGAAGGAGCCCCCTTTTCCCAGTACATCCCTTAAAACAGTCTTTGTCATCTGTGGCCTCTGTTTCATCTAAATTTTGCTTTATTTGTTGGCATTCTATAGAACACTCTTACCTACTCTTAGTGGCTCATGTATTCAGGTTACCTAAAAGTGTCAAAGCTTATGCCTTCCTGAAAGAAAAAGGTCATGGCCCCAGAGCTCCATTTTTATTTCTGATGCTACAGTTTGAGAAACTGTTATATTTAATAGAATGATTATTGGGATGGGCGTATATTGATATAATGGGCTTCCCTGGTGGCTCAGTGGTAAAGAATCTTCCTACCAATGCAGGAGACTCAGGTTTGATCCCTGGATTGGGAACATCCCCTGGAAAAGGAAATGACAACCCACTCTAGTATTCTGGCCTGGGAAATCCCATGGACAGAGGAGCCTGGTGGGCTACAGTCCATGGTATTGCAAGAGTTGGATACAACTTCCCGACTAAACAACAACATATTGACAATAAAGTTCATTCTTCCTCTTGTTAGCCATTTCACTTTTAAAATATTTCCTGAACACAACTTATCTGTATGGCCGTAAGTATTTAGAGAGACTCCTAACTCAGGAAAGAGATTCAGATTGTCCCTTGATAGGGGAAAGACAAATATCCAGTCTTGGACAGGATCGCCAAACTTCAGAATTGTGATATCCTGTTTTATTAAACATGAGACCCATCACAACGTGTCACAAGCCAAACCTGGGAATAATTATTTGAAGAAGAAAAGACAGTTCTGGAAGAATCTTTTGAGGAAGGACAGAAAGAAGAGTCAGAATAGAGTTTATATATTGCTAAGAAATGTCTTGGAAAAACAAAAGGCATTTGGTTAATGATATGCAAGAAAAAAAAAAGATATGAGAAAAACACATGTGGAATGATGGCTAGAGAAAAAGATGAGGGTGTAATGTGAAATTTGTTGGGAAGCCACCAGAAATAGGATAGTCATCAATGCAGCAATGGCCAAAGAGGTTAACAGTTGTGTTATGGCAGTCAGAATCTGTCTTCAGTGATGGTAAAGAGAAGAAGCAACAGTCTGAGGAAGCTGGGGAACCAGATCTTCTGGCTTGTTGTTGCTCTGTGTCCTGGGAAAAGAAGAATCTTTCATGGAATCAGTCACATCTTTGATTGGTGAAGACTGGTTCAGAAAGTTAAAATTCCACTCATCTTTTCTGAAATCAGTTAACATGATGATTAAAATGTCCTTCCCTGAAGAAAGTAAGAGGCATTTCTGTTACCTATGGCAGAGCCTGGGTAACAATGGAGGACAGGTTTGGAGGATGCAAGGTGCCTGTTTCTGCCTGATCACACCTAACTAGGGACTCAGCCCATGGAAAGAGGGAGACTTTTTCCAGCCCCAAAGACTACTTCCCACCTTGACAAGGTCTGACAATATAAAGATTGTTTTTATTGCCAAATAAACTTATATCAGAGAATCCACTAAGAGCAACAATTAAAAACTTTTAACCAATTCAACGTGAGATATACATAATCCTTTTTACATCCTCCTGGAGAGAAAAAACTCCTCAAATATTTAACATTTATCAACTGTAGGTTGGTTTTGTTTTTTTTTTCACATGGTGAGCTTTTGATGGTAACTTGTAGCAACAAAAGGTGTTTGTTTTGATAAGTGGGCTCTAGTTGATGCGGCTTGCTTAGAAATGAAAATCAGATTGTGAATCATAAAGTTTCTATTGGTCCTGGGCTTTATGGCCACCTGTCCGCACCAAAAAGCCATCATTTACCCATTTATTATAGTTGGAGGCAAGACTAAATTAAGGCATAAGACAAATGGTGATACCCTTTCTTGGATTCTTTATTCTTTTTTTTTCTCCCCCCATTTATTTTTATTAGTTGGAGGCTAATTACTTTACAATATTGTAGTGGTTTTTGCCATACATTGATATGAATCAGCCATGGGTTTACATGTGTTCCCCTTCCTGCCCCCCTTCTGCCTCCCTCCCCATCCCATCCCTCTGGGTCTTCCCAGTGCACCAGCCCTGAGCACTTGTCTCATGCATCCAACCTGGGCTGGTGATCTGTTTCACCCTTGATAGTATACTTGTTTCAATGCTATTCTCTCAGAACATCCCACCCTCACCTTCTCCCACAGAGTCTAAAAGTCTGTTCTGTACATCTGTGTCTCTTTTTCTGTTTCGCATATAGGGTTATCGTTACCATATTTTTAAATTCCATACATATGCGTTAGTATACTATATTGGTGTTTATCTTTCTGGCTTACTTCACTCTGTATAATGGGCTCCAGTTTCATCCATCTCCTTAGAACTGATTCAAATGAATTCTTTTTAATGGTTGAGTAATATTCTGGATTCTTTATTCTTAGATATTTATTTATTTGACTGCACCAGGTCTAAGTGAGGCACCCAGGATCTTTGACCTTAGTTGCACCATGTAGGATCTAGTTCTCTGACTAAAGATTCAGCCTGGGCCGCCCACATTGGGAGCTTGGATCCTTAGCCACTGGACCACCAGAGAAGTCCCTCTTTCTTGTGTTCTTACTTAAACTGCAAAGAGTAACTAAACATGAATTGTCAGGAAGCCATATGGACTGCTCTCACAGGGATTATAAGATGTTTGTTTTTATTAAGGCTCCAACATTCAGGCCACAAGTAGAACAACTTTCAGAAAAAACTGTTAGGAGATTCCTTTTCTTTAATCAAGAATTTAATCACACATCGTGATCTTAAAGGTCTCTTAATATTGTGTTCTCATCAAGTTAATTTTAGTGTCTAATGAACCATTGAATCTCTCTCCATTTTTCTGATTCTTTCTCATGAGGTTTGAAAACCACTTTATGACATTGTTACAAAAAAAAAAAAAACCAACCATTTACTCCTCAGAGAAACTATTTTCAGGAGTTGAAAAAAGACAACAGTATACACATCACATGCCAGGGAAAACATGCTTTCCTTGGAGAGATACCTGCTGGGCTTCTGTGATTTCAAAGAAAATATGCTATCAGTTTATTTATGAGAAGCTATGGTTTTCCCTTTTCTGGAGTTAAACATTTGTTTGATACAATGTAGAGTGAAGATGTTGTGAAGGAAAAAGAAAAATGTACATTTGTTCTTAAAAAAATGAGAGCAATGTGCTTGTATTCATCAATAAGAATTTTTCAGTTGGCATTTTGCATTTTAGATTACTTTTGTTTCATATTCAATTTCCTTGTTAAGCTCAACTTCCTGTCTCTTTAGAGAAGAAACTGAGAAGAATCAAAGGTTTAAATCAGGAAGTGACTTCCAAGGACATGCTTCGAACCCTGGCCCAAGCAAAGAAGGAATGCTGGGACCGGTTCCTCCAGGAGAAGTTAGCATCTGAGTTCTTTGTGGATGGACTTGATTCTGATGAGAGGTAATTGACTCCTAGTCCTGCTCCAGGTGATAGTCTGTTTCACTGAAAGCATTTCTCTTCCTCTAAAGAAGTCAGGGAGAGTGACATCTGAGTCCAGATATAATTTGATATCAACAGCAACTTTTCTGAGCTAAATACCATCCTTTTTAAGGTTGCCTTATTTGCTCTTAGTCCAGAGGTAAATTTTTGAGAAAGGATATTTTTGCCAAAAAGCAAATTCTCCACCTACATCTTGATCATAGGTTCAACAGAGTTGACCATCATCTTCATTTTTAAGTACACACTGCACCTGAGAAACTAGTCATCAATCAACAACTGGAACCATGTCTTCTTACCTGTGAATCTCCACTGTCTTACAGAGTTTCTGTCATATTGTAGACACTCAAATTTGTGTAACATAAATGCGTGAATTTCTTAAGCATCTCTGGTGTAAAGGCACTGTGCTGGATGTCATGGGCATGAAGGGGGAGATGTAACGATGTTCTAGACCCTTCTTTTGGTCCTTGGAACTAGTTTGGGGTGAGAAGAATATATATGAAGACATACCTAACAAAATGAGGCAGCATAAGAGCCAGATGAGCAGAAGTGACAATGTGCTTTAAGAGTTGAAAGACCATTGAGCTCCCTCTGGGCTCTGGTTTTGTACCGAAGGAAAACAGTGTCTGCAGGTGGGCCAGATGCAGAAAGGAGGAGAGGGCATTCTGTCACAAAGAGCATGGTGCTTGTCACCGGGCACAGGCGTTCTGCCACTTACTGGGTGAGTAACCCATGTGTGTCTCAGCTTCCTGCTCTGTGAAGCAAGAGTAGTATCTCTTACCTCATAAGGTGGTTATAAGCCTTAAATGAGTTACTGTGTATAAAGCACTTAGAACTTGTGCCTGGCACAGGGTCAGTACAAAGTGTTAGTTATTCCTAATATTATTCTTCCGAACAGAATTTTAAAGTTCACTAAGAAATTGTTCAAAATTAAAGTCAATGAGGGAAATAAAAACCTGAATTTTAACACAAGGTTTTAGGGGACTATGACTTAACCTAAGTTTACAACCTATCATTAACATTGATTTTCAGAGTCCCATGGTATCAGATGAATACAGCTGCTGAAATCATGGACAGTATGTAAATAGAACTTCATAGTTACATTTTATTTTTTAACTTGCAAAGTATTTTCACTTACATTATCTCAAATACTCAAGGTGGCCCCAGATCCTTCAGAAATCAGGATGGCATCTAAGGTCAGGCCAGCTCCATCCAAGGGTTCAGAAAATAATATAAAATTTACTCTTTTCTTTTCCCAGTAAACTGACTCAAACACAAAAGATGAAGATGCACAGGTTCCTGAGCCACTAATAATTTGGTATTATATTCTCTCCCGTCTAATATTAATATTTCCTTCCTCTCTAGTTCTGAGAAACAATGACAACTTTCTCTTGCATAATTCTCAAATAGGAATTCTTTTTCTCTGAAATCAGATCAGCACCGAGACTCAAGTTCATGTTTCTGTGTATTTATTAATACCTAAAATAATTCCTTGTAGAAATAATTGGAACTATTTTATGAAACGTGTAGTAGATGAAAGTTAAATACCCACATAGTATGGTCCTGAGCTTCCATCTGTGGGAATGCTTCTTTCTGTTCAGAACAAGCACAGGAAACAGATATGCATTTGGTTTTAAACCTAAAAGTGTATGTTTTAAGCACAGACCATTTTGTAGTGGAATTGTGTGTTTCTTCATGTATGTGAAGACCAGATAGGTGACCCCTCCTCATCATATGCTTTTGGCAAGGGAGCAATGGACTGGGAAATCATACTGTCCACAACATGATTCCCCCATTGTAGGTGTCTGAAATCTGCTGGTTATGGCCTTATTTCTTGGCTTATGACTTTTTGCTGTTGAAGAGCATAGAATGAGCTTTACATTATTTCTAGTCATTTGTATTTTACTGTGAATGTCTAATACCTTTAGGGAAGGATTCTGGATGCTCAAGGAAGGTAGGCGGGGATACTTCCCCCTCTCCACTGTGCTGTGCTTGGTCGCTCAGTCATGTCCGACTCTTTGCAACCCCATGAGGGGCTTGGCAGGCTCCTCTGTCCATGGGATTGGTTCTCCAGGCAAGAATACTGGAGTGGGTTGCCATGCCCTCCTCCAGGGCATCTTCCCAATCCAGGGATCAAACCCAGGTCTCCCGCATTGCAGGTGGATTTTTTACCATCTGAGCCCCCAGAGAAGCCCAAGAATACTGGAGTGGGTAGCCTACTGCTTCCCCAGGGGATCTTCCCGACCCAGGAATCGAACTGGGGTCTCCCGCATTGCAGGTGGATTCTTTACCAGCTGAGCTACCAAGGAAGCCCTCCTCCTTCCCACAGATCCAAACAAAAAAGAGCCCCCTGGAGTTGTGCCCATTCCTTTGTGTGGGACATTGCTATTCAGATGTTTCCATCTTGGCATCTTGCTATAGAATGAACTAAATAAACAAAAACACCTGAAAAACCATAGTTAGTGCAACTAAGTGCTGTAAGTATAATTGAGCCTCAGACTACTTCAGGTATCAGAGATACCAAGATGCTCAGGTTTCTGCCTTACTAATACAGAAGGCATAAGAGACGTGGCTTTAATCCCTGGGTTGGGAAGATTCCCCTGGAGAAGGGCATGGCAACCCACTCTCATATTCTTGCCTGGAAAATCCCCATGGACAGAGGAGCCTGGCGGGCTACAGTCCATGGGGTCACAGAGTCGGACACAACTGGAGCAACTTAACATGCAATAATTTGGTATTTATTTGAAATGTTTCCTCCCCTTGAAAATTTCTCTTCTCTCCAGTTTGGAGGAAGACCAGACAGGCATAGGCTCTTCAGCTGTTCTCATCAAGTCTTCAGAAACTGCATTTGAAGGGGGGCCTAGTGCTGCGTATCGCCCAAGTGCCCACTAGGGGGTAAATTATACCATGGAGCTGCCAGGATGCACAGCTGTCAGAGGAGTATTTGTGCCCCCACCCCGTGTTAGCACTGAAAAACAACTGCAGGAAGAAATTGGTGGTGGGTGGGAAGGCAGTCTTGGAGTATCTGAGATAATCATTAAGTAATTAGTCAGTGAAGTCTGATGCAGTCACACTTCCCTCCTCTTCTTTCCTAGCACCTTGGAACATTTCAAGAGGTGGCTCCAGCCAGATAAGGTAGCCATCAGTACAGAGGAGATCCAGTATCTGATTCCTCCAGAGTCACAGGTTGAGAAGCCAGCGCCGGGGGATGAGCCAACAGCAGCAGAACAATAAATTACACACATACACGCCCAGCAGCTGTCTTGGGTCCGGAGGGAACAGCGGAGCACTCATTGGCGGGGACGGCGACAGCAAGGAGGTATCTAGGGAGGGAAAAAGCCCAGCCTTCCACTCCACCAAGCACGAAGCCACAGCCCCCTGAGGATTTGCCAGGGCCTGGCATGTGTGACTGTCTTGAATAAAGTGACTGACCCAGTGTTCACTGGATCAAAGTACCACCTTAGTCTGTGTCTCACAGCTTGTCTGAGCCCTGTTGCTGCAGGTGAGAAGTCTGCTAAGAACCTAGTAAAGGATGAAGTGTGAAGGTATTTGGAAAAACTGATGCCCTTGTGTATAATGCATAAGTTAAATGAGCTGTACTTTTTCTTGCCTCTTCTGAACGTTCCCACCCATGTTCCAAGTGTTCCATTGGTAAACTGTCAGGGGTGTGTAGGGTCAAAGAGAGTGAAGTCTGCCTCCTTGAATCCAAGCCCCAGCTGGGGCTTCTCTGCCAACTCCATAATAAATATAGGGACTTTAGGAAAAAGAGGCTGGGCTTTTCCTTCGTCTGATTGTTTCTTGTGGGGAAAATGAACAAAAGAAGTGTGAAAATGTTGGTGTCTCTGTGTATACATGTATATATATTTTTATTTTATTATTATTTTTTTTATATATTTTTAATCTCATGCATGGTTTCTCCCCTGACTTCCTCTGATGCTTAAAAAGAGCCAGGTTCCAAATTAGACATGTAAATATGGTGTTGGTATTTGAAACCACTCCTGAATAATTCCACGCCTGCTCCTTGTGGCCACTTTCCTGGCTGAGCCTGTGCTTCCTTCCTTGTTGGTGTTCTTGTTCAGTTTGTATCGCCCACATAAAACTCTTCTCATCAGACTAGCCATGTGTGTGGTGTTATTAACCCGATTCCTGCCAGAGAAGTGCTTCCAGACAGTGAGGAGTTAAAGACAAACGCACGTCAGTGCAGGAGAGCTGATAACCTCTGCCAGATTACTGTTTTTTTTTTTTTTTTTTAAGATTTGTTTATTTATTTATTTATGGCTGTGCTGTGAGCAGTCTTTCTCTGGTTGCAGAGAAGAGGTCTACTCTCTAGTTTCAGTGCGTGGGCTTCTCTTTGCAGTGGCTTCTCTTGGGGGGCACAGGCTCTAGGTCACGTGGGCTTCAGTAGTTGTGGCACATGGGCTTAGTTGCCCCTGGGCATGTATGCTGTTCCCACAGAATGTAGGATTTTCCCACAGTGGGGATCGAACTGGTGTCCCCTGCATTGGCAGGCAGATTCTCAACCACTGGACTACCAGGGAAGCCCTGGCAGATTCCTTTTTTAACACGTGCCCTCTGACAAGCCAGACTTCAGCACTGTGAGGATAGGATCTCTGGGGTTATGGCTCCAGTGGAGCTTCGTTTTGGGTAATAGGTTCCAAATCCCTAATGATAAACAGGTAGCCACAAAAATCTCCAGCGAACATTTGCTCATTTCTAAATCAGGTAGATTAGAAGTTTTGCCTTGTCCAAAAGGATGGGAACCAACCAGGTTGTATGAATAGTTTTGTCATAATTTCCTGATTGATTTTCCTTTTTTTTTTCCCTGCCATTGACTACTGGTGTTAACTTTATTCCTACTGCCTTTTATTAGTAGGATGTCTTTGACAAAGTGAGTGACCCTCTGTTCCCCAGACACTTGGAGGAAGCCAGACACTGACAATCATCTGGTCCTGGACTAAGCTTGCAAAGGATTCTGCCTGGTTCAGGTGCCAGCCCTTACTCTTCCTACAGAGCCATCTGATTGATGGCTTTCAGATGGATGGATAAGTTTAAAAAGGAAAGGAAAAAAAAATTTTTTTTCCTTCTCCTTGCATGATAAACAAAATTATTCTTCATCAGTAACAACAATTTAAGAAGAAAAGCAGTGAGGTCTGAAATATTCTCCCAAAGAGCAGCTGCTCATCAATGGTTAGAGAACGCTTCTGAACCAGAAAACAGTGTTACTCTCATTCAGGCAGGATTCCAACTTTGCCTTTTCCCTTCCTCCCATTTTCGACCTAAGTAACAGGAATCTTTCTGTTAAAAAGGTGGAGTTGACTTACAGGGATTGAGAAGGAACTGTAGGACTGAGAGCTGTTTAGCCCAGGGTGAAAACCGGGGGCTGGTGTGAGGGGGAGGCCCTGGGTCTCTGACTGCCCTTTTACTTCACTCTTCAGCAGAGACAGGCTTCCACAGAACGGAGTCCAGCGGTTTGTAACTACGGTTTCTTAATTGGTTTAGAGCTGACAGCTTAAGGGATTGGTCTAAAAACGAGGTGAAACTATTTACCAAAAAAAAAAAAAAAAAATTTGGTATTAGTTTCCAAAGCTACCTTTTTAATATAAATTTAACTTAGGCAATGGATGTATCAGTCCTAAATTTGAAACCAAGAGTCTTGGGTGCTATCTTTATCCATGCTGTGGCTTAACTTAAATTAGTCAAATGACCTCTTAGTATTCCAGTTCCCTTTCAGAAATGAGACTAACCATGGCAAAAATTCTATTGGCTAAAAATGCTGATCTGTTTCCTTTGACCCTGGGAACTCCCAAGGAACTCCACTTAAGACTTCCTCAAATCAGTAAAATTTATGAGTTGAGAGAGCCTTTCTTATCACCCTTACTTTCTTCCTTCCTCTTGTCCTTAATGAAACAGAAAGAGCACATGAAGCAATATTTACTGCTAAACCTTAGTGGCAGAGAAGGGCAATTCCCAACAGGGCAAAAAGGTCATGACTGGGTATATCCAGAGAAGGTTGGGTTGGAGCCAGGGAGATAAGGTAAGTGACTGCCACTGTCACTCCTGGCTCAGGGCTTGGCAAGATCAGTGCTGGAATGGCACAGGCTTGCGTCCAGTACCTGCTCCAGAAATAGGCTCTGGATGGAGCACAGCAAGTAAACATCTTACCAGCTGTTGCCGAGGTGTGTTCCTGTCAGGCAGGCCTGCCCACCAAGACTGTTGTGGGAAGAGGAAAGATGTCCTGGAGCTACTCCCTGGCCTTGCCTTGGAATGAGTCCCCCAAAGTTAGGAACAGCTCCAGCCACATAAAGCGGCTGATATTTTCCTGAAAGTTCCAAACTCTCCCAACCAGCTTTGGCCCTATGTCAGTTATAACATTCAAGACAGGACCCTGTCGTAGCTAGCTCAGGCTTGTGGGAGGGCTGTTTACTTGTACCTACTGGGCTATTTAAGGCACAGATTCATTTCTCTAACCAATATTTGTTGAGCCCCTGCCATGCTTCAAGCACTGCACACAGTGGGGAATAAAATAAAACTTACCTTCCCACGTGAGTCGATGGAGGGGGTGATGCAGCCTGGTTAACTGGTGCTGGAGGGCCTCAGCACATGCACAGAATACTTTGAGAGCATATGGGAAGGAGAGATGAGAGCCCTAGGCCAGTTAGGTGGGAGGTAGGAGGAAGATCAAGTTAGGGAAGCTGAGTCCAGAAAAAAGAATAGCAGCTGGAGAGACGAGAGGCGTAAGAGCCTGATGGCAGAGAAAAGTCCCAGAAGAGGAAAACAGCAAGTACAAAAGGCCAAAGAAAGTTTGGATACTGGCTAGTGGTTCAGGGTAGCTGGCGTATAAAGGACAAGGGAGGCAGCATCAAAGGTGAGGTTGGAAATTAATAAACAAGGCCAGGTGTGAAGGGCTTGTAAGCCATGTTCAGGAGTTTGGAATTTATTTGGGGAGTAACAGGGAGCTAAAGGGTCATTTTAAGAGGGGCAGTGACAGGATCAGAATTGCATCTAGAAAGATGGTTATAGCTGCCATGGGTTTGACATGTTTAAATTGATGGAGGTCTCGCTCAGTCGTGTCCGACTCTTTCTGACCCCGTGGAAGGTAGCCTACCAGGCTCCGCCGTCCATGGGATTTTTCCAGGCAAGAATACTGGAGTGGGCTGCCATTTCCTTCTCCAGGGGATCTTCCCCATCCAGGGATCGAACCTGGGTTTCCTGCATTGCAGACAGACGCTTTACCGTCTGAGCCACCAGGGAAGCTTAAATTGATGAGGGGAACACAAATTCACACTTGGCAATGATCTGTCGACATGAAATAATGCAATCAGATGGCTTTGTGGTCTTTCTGTGTTTTATTTTCTAGCTTGATTTCTTTGAAGTTATTTTTTCACTACTACGGAACAAATAGAATCATGTACTGCAGCTTGTATTTTCCAAAGATGGCCATATCAATATATCACATCCCACACGTTCATCTTACAGTGTGGTGTGGACTCTCTTCCACTGAGATGTGGGGTCAATATTCCCTCCCCTGGAGCCTGGTTAGACCTATGTAACTGCCCTGCTAATAGAGCACAGCACAAATAATGTGACTTCTGAGACGAGGTCATAAAAACATTTCACCTGGGATCTCTCTCTTTCTCTCTCAAAATGTTCCTTGGTAGTTCTGAGCCAGCATATGAGAAGTCTGGCAACCTCGAAGCCTCCATACAAGAGAGGCCTGGCAGAGAGCCAGAGGGGCTCCCACAGTTTAGCCCCCAGTTGTTTGAGTCTTCCCACCCCAGTGATTCAAACAAGTTTAGGCTCAGCCTTCAAACCACCCCAGCTGACTCCAAGTGGAACAGAGACAAGCTGTCCCTGCAAACCCTATAGATTCATGAACAGAGTAAATGTCATGGTTTAAGCCACTACGGCTTGGGTTGGATTGTTACTCAGCAATAGATAACTGGTACACCATAACCTGGGCATCTCTGGTGGCTCAGTGGTAAAGAATCTGCCTGCCAATGCAGGAGACACAGGAGATGTGGGTTTGATCCCTGGCTTGGGAAAATCCCCTGGAGGAGGAAATGGCAACCCACTTCAGTATTCTTTCTTGAAAAATCTGAAGGGCAGAGGAACTTGGTGGGCTACAGCACGTAGGGTCGCAAAGAGTTGGACACTGAGTAAGTGTGTACACCATAACCTAGGTTTCAGATTTTATAGCTAATTTGCAGCCCCTTTTAGTTTCTGATGGTTACAGA